CATCCCTGGCCATCACCAGTCATCCTGACGTTTGTCCTACTACTTGACTTCAGTGACTCTGGAAGAGCAAGTAAGGTAAACAACTTTGTGAAGCTATGCCTCAACTAATTCTCTTTGAAAACAAAGGATGAACAGAAACAATATGGAGTCAGTGAAGATACCAGTGGAGGGGACTGACAATCAGACCTGTGCTTATATCAGCTGGGTAGGTGGTACCTAGAGCACTGGGCCTGTAGTTAGGAGGACCTGAATTCAAATCTAACCTTGGATAGTTACTAGGTATGACCTTGGTAAGTCACTTAAACTGTCTGCCTCAGTTTCCTCATGTGTAAAATGAGAATAATAATAGCACCTTCCTCAAGGAGTTGTGAGAATAAAATGAAATATTTTTAAAGCTTAATATAGTAACTGGTACATAGTAGGCACTTAATAAATGCTTGTTCCCTTTTTACCTTTCCTTTGTCCTTTAGGAAGATTATTTTGGTAGCTATGTGATAGCACATGGAGAAAGGACTGGAAATGAGTTGAGATTCTAAGCACTGAGACCAATTCTAAAGTATGCAAAGTCAAATCAAGTCAATAAGCATTTTTAAGCATTTACCATTGTGCCAGGCATTGTGCCTGGGAAAACAAATAGAAGCAAAAGGAAAGAGAATCTCTACTCTCAAGGATCTTACATTCTAATGGAGGAAGACAACTCAGAAAAAGAAGCTGAAAACTGGGCTGGGGCAGAAGAGCTAAGAAGAGAGAAAGAAGTCTGGAGAGTTAGGAGCAGAGCCTGGAAGGGAATGAATACATGGCTGACCTGAGCAATTTCCTTAAAAATGAAGATTCTTGAGGAGCCAATCAATCAGAGGAGGCCTCTAAGGTATAGAGTGAACTTTCAGGGTGAATAGGTTGCTGGCTGCCTATAGGCAGCTAGGTAGTACAGTGAATAGAGCACTGGGCCTGGAATCAAGAAGACCTGTGTTCAAATCCGAGCTGATATTTACTAACTGTGTAACCCTGAGTGAGTCACTTAACCTCAGTTTCCTCAAATATAAAATTGGAATAATAATAGGTTGTTGTGAGGATCAAATGAAAAAATATTTGTAAGGTGCTTGGTATATAACAGGTGTTCTATAAATGCCTATTCCCTTCCCTGTGGCATGGTAGAAAATTCTGGACAGTCAAAAATGCAAAGCACCTTAAATATATTACTTCATATGAATGTTACAACAATTCTGTTTTATGTATTACTGTATTATTATTATTATTATGCTATAGGCACATCATTACTCTAATTTTACAGAGGAAGAAACTGAAACTGAAACTGATAGTTTGGGGTGGCTTTTTATCAGTCATAGAGCTAGTGTCAGAGGATTTAAACACAGGTCTTTCTTAGTTCAAATCCAACAGTTTATTTACCACAACATACTGATTCTCCAACAAAAGTATCACCATCTGGAAAGTTGTATTCTTTATTCTGCAAAATGCTTATTACATATACTGGACAAACCAGCCTACAGCCGTAGAACTTCTGACTTAGAAAGAATGTGTCAAAAAAAAATTTAAGTTTGAATATTTTTAAGTTTTAGACAGAAGTCTGCCAAAAGCAATTTTTAAAAATTGATTTAACATTATTCTAAGTCTAAGCATTTCTAGTTTAAAGAGAGAAATATCCAAATTGGCATAGATTCTTCCCTCTACCCCATTCCCTTGGACATGTCTCTCTAAACCAAGGCAAGTTGAGGCAACATGTACAGAATTATTGAATAAGGAAAGTCACAGTATGCCACAAAGCTACTAATATTCCAGAACAATAGTCACTCAACTTTCAGCTAGAACCTCACAGCTCTTTCCTTGACCACTCCCATCCAGGACTGAGAGGGTTCCTTCCTGTGATCAATATCTTATTTCTTAATGAATGAGAAGAGGACATTTTCTTTCTTTTTTTTTTTTTTTGGAAGCAGCAATACATTTTAATAAGGCACAGAAGGTGTGGGGGCAAATGGCACAGATAGTACAGACACAAATGGTGAAAAGAGGTACAGAGACAAATGCCTTGGGGATTGAGGTGGCATGGTGAAGGAAGGCAGGCAGTGATGGGGAAGAGATTGGGGAGGAGGAAAGGCACAGAGTATCCCTTACATAACCATAGATTAGAGTTGGGAGTTCAAAGAGGATATTTTCTGAAAGGAAAATAGAGTGCTTCTTTTGAGTGCATCATAGACCAATGACTGGGGGCAATGGGGAAGGCTAGGATCTTCACAAGAGGTAGAAAACAGGTAAGTTAAGGCAAACTGTTGGTGAAACTGTGAACTGGTCCAGCCATTCTGGAAAGTAATTTAGAACTATGCCTAAGTAGTTACTGAAGTATGCATATCTTCTCACCCAGTAGTATCACTACTAGGGTCTATACCTTAAGAGATCATATGAAGAGGAAAAGGATACCTATGTAAAAAATATTTATAGCAATTTTTTTTAGTGGTGGCAAAGAATTGGAAAGTGAGGGGTACCCATCCATCAGGGAATAATGGAACAAGTTATGATATTTGAATGTGATGGAAGAAATGTGTTATTGTGCTAAAAGAAATGATGGTAACAGTATAATAAATCTGGGAAGACATAAACCAATGCAGAGTGAGGTGAAAAGAATGAGAACAATTTATACAATAATAACAATACTGTAAAGACAAACAACTTTGAAAGACTTAGGAACTCTGATCAGCATAATGACCAACCACAGTTCCAGAGTACTCATGATGAAATGTGCTGTCCCCTCCTGATAAAGAAGTGATAGACTCAGAGCACAGATTAAGACATTTTTATGGAGATGGTCAATCAGGAATTTGTTTTGCTAGACTATGCATATTTATAACAGGGGGAAGATTAAGGGAGGGGAAAGGAATAGAAAGTGGATTTTCCTTTGAAAATGAAATAAAATTTAATTAAAAAAAAAGACAAAAGGTACCTTGGTCCCAAATTTGATTAGCACCCTTAATCTAGTTTCTCAGAAATAGACCATTTGTTCTTGACTCAACCTACCTGTCAAAGAGGAGTACTCTGGAAAGAGTTTTAAGCTGGAGAAATATTTATTTTTAAAATATCTTTAGAAAGCTTTAAAAAAAGGTTAATATGCTTCTACAGATATTAATGAACATACAATAAAACCTACATCTGATTTTTATTTATCTCCCATTTGGTTCCTGATTCTAGTTTTGGCTTTCTTTCTTTTTTCTAGTTCTCAAAGAAAGTGATCAGAGGATAAGCAGTGGGCAGTAGTACTCTGTGACGTCAAATCAGAGGAACTGGCAAATGAAAGTTAAATTTATTTCTATTGTTCATCTATTTGATAAATCACCAAACCAGAACCCATCCAGAGCTGGATCCAATTAAAAAAAACAACAACCTTCTCTCAGGTGCTTTTCTACTCAAAGATCACAGGACAACCAGATCCTTTGTCACAAGACCTGTCTGGTTCAGAGTCCTGCTACCAATAGTGTGATTCTGGACAGTTCATTTAATCTTAACTGTTTCCTCAATTACACAATGGTAGTAATAAAACTTGTTACTACTTACCTCACAGGATTATTGTAAGGCAACATTAAAGGGTCATACAAATGTGAGTTCTTATGAATACTGCCAGAGGCAGAACTAAAACTCCAACCCACATCTTCGGACTCTTTCAAGGCCATTTACTTCTCTCTGTTAACGCCCTTTCCAATTCATAGCGTCTAGGGAAGGAACACACTGGGTCATTTTACTAGCTGTCATTGATTTCCTGGGTCCCTGAAACTCAAGTTCAGCACAACAGGAGAAAGCAATCTCACCCGACCCCAACAGCTAGCAGCAATAGGAGCATTTCCTAATAGTAGCTAGCATTTATATAGGCCTTGAAGGTTTGCAAAATGCTTTACAAATATGATCTCAGTTTATTCTCACAGCATCCCAGGGGGAGGTGCTATTATTACCCCTATTTTACAGATGAAGAAACTGAAGCAGACAGAAGATAAGTGACTTGCACAGAATTAAACAACTTACTAAGTATCTGAAGTCAAATTTAATCTCAGTTCTTTCTGTCTTCCACCTAGCTTCTAGATAGCTTTCATAAGCTGCCAGGTGTTTCAACCAGAATTTAAAAAAAAACTTAGCTGGGTTTGAATCCAGGTTCTACCATCCACTAACTTCCTCCGTGGTCAAATTATTTCCCCTCCAGGATCGTCAGTTTCCTCATCTGTAAAATTAGTTTGGACCAGATGATTCCTTTCCTGCTCTAAATACTAGGACCTACTTTTGTTAGGTTCTTGGCGGTCCATCTGGTCTAATTTCATTTCAATCCAATAAACATTTATTACAAAACTTATTATAAAAGCATTTAATATAAAATAAACATTTATTAAGCGCCTACTACGTGCCAGGCACTGTGCTACAAAGAAGGAAACTAAGGACCATAGAGGTTAAGTAACTGCCCAAGGTCGCGCTGGTAAAAAGTGGCAGAGCTGGGGTTTGGGACCTCGATTTCCTGTCTGGGAGTTTTTGAGATCCAAGGTTGAGGAAGGTAAAGGAGCATCCCCCAAAGTGCCTCCCAGGTGTTCCCCGGATCAGCTGGGAGAGAGAAAGCTCACACAGCTTCTGCAGCATGTGGCAATAATTTTAGCCCTGGTCCGCTGGGCTCCCACTCCGAAGCCACGCCCCCAGCTCCGGGCCAGTGTGGCCCAGCCTCACGCTTCTCTCTCCTATTGTACTTTCCCGCTTAGGTAGGAGAAGGGGCGGGACGTCCGAGAGGTCCGGGATTGGGGAGAAAGAGGGAGGGGCGTGGCGACGCGCTACGCCGGATGCCGGAAGTGACGCGCTCTCAGGAGGCGGGGTGGGGGAAGGGGTGGGAACGGCACGGGGCGGGGGGGAGGTGGCGTCCCCGGCCGGTTGGGGGGGGTGCGTTGCCCGGAGACAGAAAGTTTGGGATCCGGAGCGGGCGCAGTGGCCCCGGGGCGGGGTGCGGGAGGTCCGGGGAGGAGGACGGCGGCCCCGGTGGAATGGGGAAGGAGCAGGAGTTGCTGGAGGCGGCCCGCACCGGGCACCTCCCGGCGGTGGAGAAGCTGCTGTCCGGGAAGCGGCTCTCTTCGGGTTTCGGCGGCGGCGGCGGCGGCGGCTCCAGCGGCGGCTCCGGGGGCGGCTCCGGAGGCGGCGGCGGCGGCGGCGGCCTGGGCTCCTCCAGTCACCCCCTCTCCAGTCTCCTCAGGTGGGTGTGAGCCTCTCAGGAAGGGGGGGTGGTGCGCGGCGGGCCTCCCCCCCCCACGCCAGAAGGAGGGGGAACCCCAGGGAGGCCCGAGCACCTGGGGCGTGGGGCGGGAGGAAGGCGGAGGTTCCCACCCCCACCCCCACACCTCCCTGCACACACGCGCTTTCCAGGGAGCCGAGGCTCCGGAGTCCAGCGGGGCAGGCTGAGAGCAGCGGGCTCGGGTCCGGCCCTGGAAGCTGCGTGGTCCAGTGCATGCCCACTGGAGTGTCAGCCAGGGTCCTCCCGGGTGTGTGCGTGGAGAGGGATGCACTTAATTCCTGTGTGACCTTGGGCAAGTTTTTGGGCATGGGGAATCATTTTCCTCAACTGTCATAGGCAGTCTGAGGTTGGTCTCTGTCTGCTCTAAACTCTGTGGCGGCTGATTTGGGTCAAGTCTCCGAGCCTCACCTTTCCCATCTGGGAAAATCGATGGTAATTGAGTTTTTACTCGATGGGTCGCTGTGAGGAAAGGGCTTTGGAAACCTTAAAACACCATAGCAATGTGAGCGCTTACTATATACCATGTGCTTACTGGTAGGTGTTTCAGTCTGTCTGCACTCGTGAGGTTGAGGCTGTGCTCAGGTGGCACCCTCCACCTCATGGCACGGCTTCCTCTATGTCTGTTATGGGTCATCAGCTGTCACATTTATCAAGCTACTTCCTTTGCTACCCAGGTGCAGAATCTACTCTTTCCTCCCAGTGGGAATTTTGTTGATTCTGTTCTCTTGGGAAGACCTTACCGCCTGCCTCTTGCTCAATATGATCTGACTCTTGTTGCTTGCTTATGCGAAGATTATTAAATTGTCTCTGAGTCCATCAAATTTAGTATGTTTTTCTTTTAACTCACTGTAAATATAAAACATTTTTAATTCTCCACATTGAACCATAATAGGGTATTGTACCTTTGAGGATTATTCACTGAGCTTGCTTATCAAAGGAGAGAAATTGAAAGATGTTTAGAAAAATAGGGAAGTTTTAAACTTTCACGGAGACTGTTTTTAAGTGTAAGTAGATGATAGCTGGAACGATTATTTTTTTAAAAAAAGCTTTTTTGTGACTAGAAGACAATTTGCGGTGCTTTGTCACTGTGTTCAGGATTTGATAGTGATTCAGCAGCTTTCTTTTGTAGCCTGGGTCCTTCTCCTTCCCCGTTTTTTTTTTTTTTTGAGGTTTTAAGAAGTGGAAGTTCCTTTAGAAATGGCTTTGTTAGCTTTTGTTTCCTCATTAGTCTTTTTGTTTTAGTTGTTTTCACTTGTTTCAAATGTGCCCAATTTCATTTACTCTACAAGTATTTGTTGAATACCTTCTGTGCCTAGCATCTTACTAGGTACTTTGGGGATATAAAAGTAAAATTGCCCTGCCCCTTAGTCCCCTTTCAGAGACAAGATTAAAATGGAACAAGTGAAGAGCAAAAAGAGTACTACATAAAACTCCAGTGACTCCCAGTTGCCTTTAGTTTATAATAAACTCCACTTGTATTTAAAGCTCTTAATAATCTGACTTCAGCCTGCCTTTCCAAACTCACTACACATTACTCTTTCACACATTTATTTTCCAGCCAAACTGGCTTACTTTCTGTTCTCATTCATAGCATTCCATCTCCTGCCTCCATCCTTCCCTGTGCATATATTCTTTTCTACCTTCCTCATTCTTGCCTCTTTGAATCTCTTGTTATTGTTTGGTCTTTCAATCCCCAATGCCTAGCAGCGTCTGGAACGTAGTTCGCTGTGTTTAATTTAAGTAGTATAGGACGTCAAAAGAGGAAAAGCTGTGCTGAGCGAGTTGGTCAGGGAAATCTTCATAGGAGATGGGGGACTTAGGTTGAACCTTAATGGATAGGTAAGATTTGGATAGATGAAGGGGAGAGAGATTGTGGCATTCCAAATACTATTGGGAAAATAGTAGTAAAAATAGGGAAGTCTTAGTTGGTGATTGTAGGGCAGCTAGTGGATTGAGTTTTGGACTTGGAGTCAGGAAGACTCTTTTTCCTGAGTTCAAATCTGGCCTCAGACACATACTAGCTGTGGGACCCTGAGCAGGTCACTTAACCCTGTTTGCTTCAGTTTTCTCATCTGGAAAATGAGCTGAAAAAGGAAATGGCAAACTACTCCAGCATCTTTGCCAAGAAAACCCCAGATGGGGTCATGAAGAGTCAGACACAATACCAACAACAGTTGGTAATGATAGTATGATTGAGGGGGCATTAAAGAGACAGGCCTAGTTGGATTAGAAGGTATGATTTGTGTTGTAGAAAACAAAGTTGGATAGGTAGGTGTCCAAGGTGGGTGAACTTTTACTCCAGATGAATCATGAAGTATTGAGATATTTGGCAATGACACCATAATTCCCTAGAATTCCTTATTAATGTGAGATGTAGTGGAGTCTCATAAATTTCTCAGATTCAAGTACAGATACAGTCACAAGCCAGTCACAGACAGATACCACCCTGGTTGATGGTATTTTATGAGAATTCACCTTCCAAATGATACAACAAGACTATGAAATTACAGTTGAGCTCATTTTGTGCTATTGTGGTTGGCATTTTGTCTTCTTGTTAAAGGGTGGGTGTTGTCTTCATTCCTCCAGAGTAAGATAGGGCTTACTTGCTCATTCCTCTGTTGATATGATAATAGAGATACTTAAGTGTTGCTCCAGACTCTTGTTCCCATGGCTCCTGGGGGCAGAGATGATGATGCTTTGGGTACTAGTTATGCCAGGTGTGTCATTAATTATGACCTTCTTAAAGATGTCTTTGATTAAAAGTATTGAAACATTTCATACCAAATGAGAACATAAACTTAAATATTACCTAGGACAGTGATTCTTTCTCCCTTTTGTGTAGAAATGTTAGAGGGTATTCTTTTTCAAAACACTTGAATTTGCCCTACCACATAGTTAAAGTACTGTGAAGTCTCATTTTGCTTTGTTTTTTCATAACTCCTTTCTTTTCCATCATCTTTTATCACTTCTCTACTCCCACATTCCACCACCCCCTTATGTCACCCCTCCCCCAATCTCTAATTGCAACTTGGTTCTTTTTCTTTTGGACCTGTAATTTCATCTGTTTATGTACACCTGTCTATGTATCTGTGTATCTGTTTATCTACACATATACACATGCACTGCGCACACACATTGATAAAATCCTAGTGAGGAAACTCCCTTTTCTTAGGCAAATTGAATTTTATAGTCTTTGGGAGTTGCCTAGGGGCACTGAGAAGTTAAGTGACTTGCCCAGAGTCATTGAGCTACTATGAGGCAGAAGTCATACTTGAACCCAGGTCTTCTTGACTTTGAGTTTGGCTTTCTGTCCACTCTGCCATGCTGCCTCATACATAAACAATTTGTTTATCAGTCTGAAATAAGACTTTGCAGACCTGACTGGAATCTATGATTACACATATGTGAATTTGATGTAGCTCAGGCCTCATGCTTAGGTCACACTTGGGTTTATTGGTCTGTGTCCCACCCTCTAACCCTTTATCTATATACTTACTGTCAAGTCTCATCTAATCCTAGGAGACTCCAGGGCAACATTGATACTATCTTTAACTTTTTTTTTTTTTGGCAGATCTTCGCTACAGTATCGCTTCCCACCTGCACTTTTTTTATCCTTTTATATTCTAATTGTTTGTGCTACACAATTTAGCACTTTATTACATCAGTATGTAATTCTGGTATACAGTAACACTTTACTCTAGATGTAGCTAAGAAATTAGGAAGAAAAGCAGCCAAAAATAAATGTGAAGTTAATGCATTAAAGTCCACTCCCTTTACTCATAGGGGAGCCCCTCAGAATCTTGCCAGAAGTCTCTTTACTCTCATTTTACACTCAGCTCTGACAGACTTGTTTATGTGGTTTCCAAGTACACAGCAGATTAAAATAACAAATTAGAAACTGGAAAGGGGCTGCCATAGGCAGCCATACAAGCAACAGCAAACAACTAACTATTCTAAATTTAACAGAAAAACATTTTTTAAAATGTAGATGCAGGAATTCAAGAAATACAACGTTTTGGGCACATTTAGTGTTGGGGGAAATAGTCTGTATGTAACAGTGTTCATAAAAATCCTGAGTCTTCAAGAAAAGGTTAAATTCAAGTCACTGTATTTTGCTTAAAATATTTATATTCAAATTGATTACACTTTTAAAGAAGTCTTCTTTTAAAAGGATAAACTCTTTGCTATTTCGAAAAGGAGTTTTTTTTTTCCTCAAGAAGATCTTATTCCCTATGGATTTGGTGTAGCTCAGATTTTAATATATATAAAATACTAATTGTTTTACAAATATCACCATTTACTCTGTAGTTATGTTTGACAATTTGGTGGGTAGAGGCTGTCTATTGTAATAATTTTGATTTTGAAGTGTCTGACTGATTACTTGGTGCATAGCAGGCACACACAGTTGATCCTTATTTGGAGAGCTTTATTAATTGTCTAGTCAGACTACTGAATTTGTAGAAAAATGGGTTGCAAATGCAAAAAGATTTGAGTTTAACTGAAAAGTGACCAGGTGAAAAAGAGAGTAAGTCTGGCTATGAAAAAAACTAAAATCATAAATCAAGACGTTGATGTGAGTAAGGGAATGAAAGGTAAAATAAAGTAAACTTTAAGATTCCAGAAGCGGGGAGAAGCTGAATCAAACACAGGAGTTCAGGAAGGCTGAAAAGAAGATTGTTATAATAGCTTATGAAAGGATTGGATCTGAAATATTTCACCCGACACTTTTTAAAGGCCTTCTATGTTTAGAACCAAATACTGAGAGAAGCATAAAACAAAAATAAGTTGCATTTCTTGGTTCTAGTGGACCTTACAGACTGATAGTGCAAGGGGAAGATGACACAAATAATTAAACTATAAAATAATATATAATTATGCTCAAAGAATGTAAAACACAGTACTTCCTGAAATACATATGGGGAGAAAGTCATTAATGATTGATGGGAGATTAGGGAAAGTTT